GAATCCGAACCCGAGTGCCAGTAGCGGAGCGCACGCACTTAACCGCTAAGCCACGGGGCTGGCCCCCTTCCCCTTATCTTTATGATGCGGCTAAAAGTCCTGCAGAATTAGAGCCTACATCACAGGATCATTGAGGGAATTAAATGAAATAATGCATGGAAAGATCTTACAACAGTGCCTGGCATACAGTTGGCGCTCAATGCATGTGACATGTTTATCCTTTCGCCACCCCTTTCTCTGCAAATAGAAGTATGTTTTACATATTGTTTTACATCTTGCTTTTCTTCATGAATCATGTATATTATTAACCAGCATTTATTGAGTGCCTACTGCATGTGCTATGCAGTTTACATTTAATAATTTCATCTTAACCTGTGAGGAAGGTACTATTATCATCCCCATGTATTTCAAGGGAGTTGTCTCTTTCTTTTTATCAGCTGTATAATATTCCAAACGGGCGCTTCCATCCCCTATCAATGGAGATTTCGGTTGTTTACAATATTTTGTCTTTCACACCAAAACTATATCTTTGGACCCATGTTTGGGTTTCCAAAATTGCAAATGCTGAATCTAAGGCAGAGGTGATTTTTATTTTAACAGATATCGCCGAAAGCTGTACCAACTTATATTTCCCATCTACAGTGCATGAGAGTGTCTGTTTGTCTACACCATCATTGCACAGTTATATCAAAGTTTTTTATTTTTGCCAATCTGAGAGGCAGTTCATTGCATCCTCAAAGGATCTGGAGGCTTGTCTTTTTCACATAGTTTTAAAAACGTGTGTGTTTATGTTTCTTAATGCATAGGGATTGGAATCACAAAGGTCGTGCAAATTCAGGAAGATAAATCTGAGTTGAAATGTCCGCCCCCACCCTTCTATCCCGTTTCTCAGAGGTCATGGCCTATAATAGTTTCATGTGGTTCTGTGGGTGGATTGTTTAAAGACTTCGTGTCCCTGCAGGAAGAGGGAGGGGGATGTTTGGGGGAAAAAAGAGGACTTTGCCTTCCGTGTGTTTACTGGCTCTGGCAGCATCCCTAAGTGGGTCTGTTGTTTTCACTGTGATGGGGGGACGGTTGCTAGGACTTTCTTGCCTGGAAGGATGGGGAAACTGAAGCCCAGAGAGGAAGGGAAGGGGCTGGGGCAGAGTTTACCACGTACCAGCCGCATGACTGTGGCCCAGTCATGCCTCTTCTCTGAGCTCTCAAATCTTAACATTTTTCTTCCTCCTCTTGGCCATCACCGCCACCCATCCCCATCTTCACTGGCCTGGGTCCTCGCCCCAGCCTCCTCTCTGGTCCTTCTGCCTCTAATCTCACCTCCTCACAGCGCCCAGAGGGATCTTTCTAAACTGAAACTCTAATCTGGTCCCTCTGCAGCTCAAAAACCATCCACGGCTCCCCATTACCCCAGGAGTGGCATCTGTGGATCTTCCAACCTAGTCTTGGCCACTTGCCAGCCATGGTGACCTTCTTTCATTTTCTGGATGAGCATACTCCCTCCCTCTTACCTTTTGGCCTTTTGCCTTGAACGCATGCCCCTCACTTCCACCGTACTTTAGGCCTGGAAGCCACTCAGAGAGGGCTCTGGAGTTCGACTCTCAGAAGTTCTCTCCTATCTCTGCCGCTTGCTGACTTCGAGGACTTGGAAAGGTCTCTTAAGCTCTCTGTGGCCTCGGTTTTCTTCTCTCTAAAATGGGTGTTGCAATGGCAACATTGTTCTGTGGATTAAATGAGATCCTATAGGAAAAGGGCTTAGAACAGAGCCTGGCGATTATGGTGCTATTCTCGTAAGTCTCGTGTCTTCTTCACCCCGTTCTCCTCTGATTCCTTCGTGTCTCCTCTCTGCCACCACCCTAGTGCAAGCCCATTGTCATGGGTGGCTATGGAAATGCAATTAAAATGACATAAAATGAAAAGTTTAGTCCCTCAGATGCATCTACCACATTGCACGCACTCAACAGCTGCACAGGTGGCTACCACCTTGGACAGTGCCAGTCTAGAACATTTCCATCAGCGCAGAAAGTTCTATTGGACGGCACTGCAGTTTGAGTTCCCGGGACCCCTCTCCTGCTCCCACACCAGGCTGGACCCTCTCTTAAACCCTCTCGGTCCTCATCATCGCTGATGAATTTCTCTCTCCCTGCAGACCATAAACTCTCTGAGGGCAGAGGCCGGATATGTCAACACCCAATCCTCTAGCCAGTTAATATTTGTGTCAGGAAGAAGTATTCTTAGAATCGTGGCTAGTCTCCCAGAATTGTTGAACCACGGATTCTTTTATATATGCTATATAATATCCATTTTTGGGGAATGGGCAGTGTACTCACTTGGATGGGTCTACACACAGGAAAAACAAAAACCTGTATGTTGAAGAGCTTCCTTCCTATGCCTGCCCTCCAACCCACTACTTCCCCTCTCCAGGGGCAACCACTGTTATGAGTTTCCTCTGCCAGCTTCTGGAGAGAGTTTGTGCATACGCCAGCACACATGTGCATGCACACACGGAGAGAGAGATCGAATGATAGAGATAGACAAGAGATAGAGGGGAGGGAGGGAGGGAGAGAAGGAAAGACGGAGAGAGAGACAGAGAGACACACAGAGACAGAGACAGAGAGAGAGAGGTTCCTCTTTTGTAGGTAGTGTGATTGACACACTGTCCGTTCCTCGCTTTTTCTATTTCACTCCAGATCTTGGAGCTCCTTCCACATCAGCACATAATCTTCCTCATCCTTGTTGATAGTTGCATAGTATTCTGTGCCTGGATGTGCCATCCTCATTTTTGCCAGTCCCCTCTTGCTGGACACCAGTTATTGCCAATCTTTGTAGGGTGCTGCGAAGGCAAAACTTTGCAAGTCATTTGCATCTGGAAGATCCTGGAAACATAGACTGTTAGAATCAGCGTCTTTTTTCTGTGCTCATGAGGTCAGCGAGAGGAAAGGGTCAAGTGAGCTCATGCCAGGAGGGGAAATCTGTCTGCTGATGAGAGGATTAATGATGAGCATGAGAGTGGTGGGGGGAGGCTCCCCTTTTTGGGGCTGTGAGTCATTCTGCAGCCAAGGATGGTTGAGAGCTTGTGAAACCAGCAGAGGCAAAGTTAGCTTCATGGATCACCTTCGAGGAGGACATTCAAAATATTTAACAACTTGCTTAGGGGCAGAGCCCCCCTGAGTGGGGTCTGGGGCCTCCTGCCATGCCTGCATTAACCCTTAAGTGACCAGAGCATGAGGACCTGGGCGGAGGGGGGTTCCCAGAGCAGAAAATGGGAAGCCAGGGTCCTGGGGGTGGGGGAGTGGGGCCTTTCATCTCTTCTCTCCTCCCTCCAGCAAGGTAAACATCCATTTTTTATTCCTATTTCTTATTCTTTGTCTTGCTGCCCCCAAAGATTTTCTCTCTCCTCTGGTACTGATGTTTGGAATGGTGATAGCTAAAATGGATGGACTGCTAGGAGTTAACTAGGAAAGAAACAAAGGCACAGAGTGGTAATGGAATTTGGAGAAGGCCACACAGGCTTCACCTAGGACAGTTGGGATCTGGACCCAGTGCCACGCTGAGGCATCCTGGAACCCAGTGCCAAAGGACACACGTGCACCCTTATCTACACTTAGCAAAATATCCTCCCATAGTTTGAACCAAGTAGAAAAACTAAATAAAGCTCTACCAAAAAAAATCCCCCAAAAACAAAACCAAAAAACCCCCAAGATCCCAACAGCATGACTCTACATAAAGCCCCATACTGCCTGATATGTTTGCAGGCCATTGTCACCCTGCAAAGATGCGCCCAGCTGGGAACACAAACTGTGGGTTCATCGGAAAGTTCCCCTTGTACAATAATGCAGGGTCATAAAATAAACAAACAATGAGAGCAGCCTGTCTTTATTTAAAATTTGGAATTTTTTTCCATCAAGGATTTTTTTGGGGGTGGGCATTAGTTTTGAGTCTTTAAAATATTATTGAGATATTATTGAGATATTATTCTTTTTTTTTTTTTTTGAGGAAGATCAGCCCTGAGCTAACATCCGTGCTAATCCTCCTCTTTTTGCTGAGGAAGACCGGCTCTGAGCTAACATCTATTGCCAATCCTCCTCCTTTTTTTTTTTTGCCCCATAGCCCCAGTGGATAGTTGTGTGTCATAGTTGCACATCCTTCTAGTTGCTGTACGTGGGATGTGGCCCCAGCATGGCCGGACAAGCGGTGCGTCGGTGCGCGCCCGGGATCCGAACCCGGGCTGCCAGTAGCGGAGCGCGCGCACTTAACCGCTAAGCCATGGGGCTGGCCCCCATCTTTTTTTTTTTCTTTTTTTGCTGTGGGGGTATTTTTTTCCCAGTAATTTTATTGAGATGATAACGGTTTATAATGTTGTGTAATTTCGGGTGTACATTATTATTTGTTAACTCCTAGATAGACTTCATCGTGCTCACCCCTTATTAGTATGTAATAAGATATTATTCATCTTGACGACTGAGTTTTTTGCTGTCCCCTCTCCCCCAACTTGAATGTTGTGCCTGAGTATACCAGACACTGTCAAACCACGGCCCTCTCTGGGTAGCCACTCCCAGACAGAGCACAGAGCTGCCTCAGTGGGTGGGAGGCAGGAAAAGGGGGCCATGTTGGTGGTGGTGGGGTAACCATCCAGTAATATCGTCTCAGTTTGTTGGTGACATTAAAAATATCCAACAAGCAGTGAGTCACGGGCACTGACCCATCAGAATGGATGTGTGACCACAGTGTTGCAGGAAGGCTAGGTGTTAACCATTTGGTTGCTAGACTGTAGAAGTCCAGGGACTTCAGGGGGAGGTGGCAGGGTGGCAGGGAGGCCAATCGACATGGAAGCGTTTTCAATATTTTGACAAATGGTAGGGCACCCCAGCTGGCTCTCAGCCCTCAGTGTTCCCCATATCCTGGGAGAAACCTGAGGCTCAGAGGAGTGGAGGGATGGGCCTCCCTGGTACCCGTCTGCAGACTCATTCTCTTCCCGCCTCTCTGATTCCACCCAGGACCCCATGAATAACAGCACCCCTGACTACTCCCATTATGACGGCGTGAGCAATGAGCCCGGGACACCTGTGGACAACCCTTCCGGCACCCCCACTCTGAGTGTTCCAGATATCATTGCCCTGGTCATCTTTGCGGCTGTCTTCGTGGTGGGAGTGCCGGGCAATGCCCTGGTGGTCTGGGTGACAGGGTCCGAGGCCAGGCGAACCGTCAACGCCATCTGGTTTCTCAACCTGGCCGTGGCTGACCTCCTCTCCTGCCTGGCGCTGCCCATCTTGTTTGCGTCCATCGTCCTGCACGGCGACTGGCCCTTCGGCTCGGCTGCCTGCTGCGTCCTGCCCTCTCTGATCCTGCTCAACATGTACGCCAGCATCCTGCTCCTGGCCACCATCAGCGCCGACCGCTTTGTGCTGGTGGTGAATCCCGTCTGGTGCCAGAACTACCGGGGGGCCGGCTTGGCCTGGACCGCCTGTGCTGGAGCCTGGGGCTTGGCTCTGCTGCTCACCACGCCCTCTTTCCGGTACCGCTCCTTGCATGAGGAGCACTTTCCTTACAAGTTGAGGTGTGGTGTGGACTACGGCAAAGACGGCTACGGGAAAGAGAGGGCCGTGGCCATCGTCCGGCTGGTCGTGGGCTTCCTGGGTCCGCTGGTCACCCTTGCCGTCTGTTACACCTTCCTCCTGATCCGAGCCTGGAGCCGCAGTGCCACACGCTCCACCAAGACCCTCAAGGTGGTGGTGGCAGTGGTGACCAGTTTCTTTATCTTCTGGCTGCCCTACCAGGTGACGGGGATGATGCTAGCCTTCCTCCACAGCAGCCACCACGGCTTCAGTCTCGCGACCAGTATCGACGCCCTGTGCGTCTCCTTGGCTTACGTCAACTGTTGCATTAATCCCATCATCTATGTGGTCGCTGCCCAGGGGTTCCAGTCCAGGTTCCTCAAGACCCTCCCCTCCGTTCTCCGGAAAGTGTTGACCGAGGAGACTGTGAGCAGGGAGTCGAGGTCCTACACGCTCTCCACGATGGACACTCCATCCCAGAAGATCCAGGCCGCGTAAGGGGAGCCCTCCCAGGCCACCATCTGCCCCGGGACCCTCACCTGCCTTCCCGTCTATTCTCTCTGTTGATTTTAACTCAGCCCTTGGTGAGTTGGTGGTGTTTTCATGAACTCTTCTCCATTTCTTCCATCTTTCCTGGACTTGTCCTTCCCCTTCTAGACGAACTCTTCTCATCCGTCCTCATTTCCCAGGTTAACACTTCCTTCTAGGGACCCCCGACCTTTCTTTCCATCCATGGACTTTGAAAAACCACCAGGAACCAGTCTGCAGCCCCTCATCCAGCAATATGTTTGTGTGTGCAGAGAGTGTGAATAGAATATATTAGATACATAGACTCCAGATGCGTAGAAACATTCTAACCTTGTTCAAAAAATAGCTGTGTGTTTATTTTCTGGAGAGTTGGGGAAAAAAAGTAACCGGCTTCTCAAAACTTATTCTTGTTTAGGACAAAGCAGAAGGACATGGGCCTATCTAAGCTTTTATAAGTGAGTTGATTTGAACAAAAACAGTAAGTTAAAATGATAATTGGGTTTTGAAAAAGATATTAAGTAAAAACATGTCATGTGGTTATGGCGAAAAGCCTGAGGAAGGCATGCTGAAGACAGAGGTTCGGAAACGTTTGGTTGGGCACCTCCAAGCACCAGGGTCACAGGAGAATTTGACTTTTTACTTTGTAAACTGGTGTTTTGTTTGAATCTTTTGAAAAAAATTAAACTTTTTCTTTTGGGATCATTGTAGACTCACATGCAATTGTAAATAATAATACAGAGGCATCCTGTGTACCCTCGACCTGCTTCCCTCCGTAGGAACATCTTGCAAAAAGACATTGTAACATCACAGCCAGGATGTTGACACTGAGATTGTCGAGGTACAGGACACTTTCTTCACCTCCGGGACCCCTTGCCCTTTTCTAGACACCTCCACTTCCCTCCACCCTCCCCAGCCTTGTCCCCAGCCCCTGGCAATGACGAATCTGCTGTCCATCTCTAGAGTTTTGTCCTTTCAAGAACGCTATATCAATGGAATCATACAGCATGTAACCTTTTGAATTGTAAAAAAAACTTGTGTGTATCACTTGAATAATGAAAATAAAAAATAATCAATGTTGAAATGTTGTGTTATTTATTTATTTATTTATTTACTTTTGTTGTTCCATATCAATTTTAGGATTCTTTGTTTTACTTCCGTGAAGAACGTCATTGGGATTCTGATTGGGGTTGCATTGATTCTGTAGATTGCTTTAGGTAGTATGGACATTTTAACTATGTTTATTCTTCCAATCCATGTGCATGGAATATCTTTCCATTTCTTTATGTCATCTTCGATTTCTTTCAATAATGTCTTATAATTTTTGGTGTATAGGTCTTTCACCTCCTTGGTTAAATCTATTCCTAGATGTTTTATTCTTTTTGTTGTGATTGTAAATGGGATTGTACTCTTGAGTTCTCTTTCTGCTAGTTTGTTATTCGTGTACAGAAATGTGACTGGTTTTTAAGTTGATTTTGTACCCTGCAACTTTGCTGTAGTTGTTGATTATTTCTAATAGTTTTCTGGTGGATTCTTTAGGGTTTTCCATATATGGGATCATGTCGTCCACAAACAGCGAGTTTCACTTCTTCCTTTCCAATTTGGATACCTTTTATTCCTTTTTCTTGCCTAATTGCTCTGGCCCAAACCTCCAGTACTATGTTGAATAAGAGTGGTGAGAGTGGGCACCCTTGTCTTGTTCCTGTTCTTGGAGGGATGGCTTTCAGTTTTTCACCGTTGAGTATGATGTTGGCTGTAGGTTTGTCGTATATGGGCTGTAATATGTTGAGGTACTTTCCTTCTCTACCCATTTTATTTTTATTATAAATGGATGTTGGATCTTGTCAAATGCTTTCTCTGCATCTATTGAGATGATCATATGGTTTTTATTCCTCGTCCTGTTAATGTGGTGGATCACATTGATTGATTTGCAGATGTTGAACCATCCCTGTGTCCCTGGTATAAATCCCACTTGATCATGGTGTATGATCCTTTTAATGTATTGCTGTATTCAGTTTGCCAATATTTTGTTGAGGATTTTTGCATCTATCTTCATCAGCGACATTGGCCTGTAATTTTCCTTCTTTGTGTTGTCCTTGCTTGGATTTGGTATCAGGATAATGTTGGCCTCATAGAATGAGTAAGGAAGTGTTTTGTCTTTTTCAGTTTTTGGGAATAGTTTGAGAAATATAGGTATTAAATCTTCTTTGAATGTTTGGTAGAATTCTCCAGAGAAGCCATTTGGTCCTGGACTTTTATTTTTTGGGAGGTTTTTGATTACTGTTTCAATCTCTTTACTTGTGATTGATCTGTTCAGGTTCTCTATTTCTTCTTGATTCAGTTTTGGGAGGTTGTATGAGTCTAAGAATTTACCCATTTCTTTTAGATTATCCAATTTTTTGGCATACAGTTTTTCACAGTATTCTCTTGTAAAAATGTTGTGTTATTTATAATTGACCTTAAAACATTTCTGCTTAGTGTTTGTGTGTGTGTGTGTGTGTGTGTGGATTGGCTAGAAATATTGTATAGATCAGCGCTGTCCAGCAGAAATGTGATGTGAGCCACGTTAAGTAGTTTTAAATTTTCTAGTAGCCACATTAAGAAATCAAAAAGAAACAGGTGAAATAACAGTAATATATTTAATAATGTAACATAATTATATGCTATATTAACAACAGTGATATGAATAATATATTAATTGTATTGCATAAGTATTTTATATTATACGAATATCAATATATTATATAATAATTATATTTATAATTATATAATACAGAGAATATATAACACCTTAATACGATATTATTTTATAGAATATATGTGTTTTCATATATTATAGTAATATTAATAGTATTAATAGAATATATATTATATTGCTAGATATAATAATATTTACTGTATAAAATAATAATATGGTCAGTAATATATTTTGCTTAACTCCATATATCAAAAGTATTTTTATTCCAACATGTAATCAATATGAAAAATTATTAATGAGATCTTTGACATGGTTTTTTTTTTTTTTTGGTACTAAGTCTTCAAAATCCTGTGTGTATGTTACACTTACAGCACATCTCAATTCAGACTGGCCAATTTCAAGGGCTCAGGAGCCACGCAGGGCTGGTGCTGTCAGGTATCGACTCTCCCTCTCTCTTTGCAAGAGCAGGCTGAGTCCAGGGAACAGCCTTCCTCGCGGGGCACTGGGAAACTGAATCCTGCTACTACAGTATTGTCGTGTCTACCTTGGCTACAACTTTTATTTAAAGAGGGGCTGGCCTGGTGGTGAAGTGGTTGGGTTCTCGTGCTCTGCTTTGGTGGCCCGGGGTTCACAGGTTCAGACCCCGGGCACAGACCTACACACTGCTCATCAAGCCGTGCTGTGGCAGCGTCCCGCGTTCAAAATAGAGGAAGATGGGCACAGATGTTAGTTCAGGGCCAATCTTCCTCACCAAAAAAAAATATATAATAATAATTATAAATTAAAAAAATCAATCAATAAAAACTAAAGATGCTGTCTGAGCACTAGAAGGACAGGTGCTCTGCTGGGCTTCCAGAAGGAGCTGTGTGTGGGTTTTTTTGTGTGTGTGTGAGGAAGATCAGCCCTGAGCTAACATCCACGCCAATCCTCCTCTTTTTGCCGAGGAAGACCAGCTCCGAGCTAACATCTATTGCCAATCCTCCTCCTTTTTTTTCCCCCAAAGCCCCAGTAGATAGTTGTATGTCATAGTTGCACATCCTTCTAGTTGCTGTATGTGGGACGTGGCCTCAGCATGGCTGGAGAAGCGGTGCGTCGGTGCGCGCCTGGGATCCGAACCCGGGCCGCCAGTAGCGGAGCACGCGCACTTAACCGCTAAGCCACAGGGCCGGCCCGTGTGTGTGGTTTTTGATAGTAAATGTTGGTACCTGTGCAGACCCCCTGGCAGCAAGGTCGTTGGGGGAAAATCTGAGCCCCAGCTACCTTCAGGTCTTGGGGGGGGTGACTGGTACCCCCTGCAAAGACCCTGGTGATCCTGGATGTCCCTGCTACCTCGACAGCCAACATCCCTCCCAGTGCCCTCCTCCCGCAACTCGGGCGTCCTCCCTGGCTGGCCCCAGGCCTGGCTGGTTTTCCTCCTCTCCTCTTTCTCGTGATCCTTCCCTGCCTCCTCCGCAGACTTTCTCCTTCTGCCCTTAACTGTTGGCTTTCTTGGATTCTCTTCTCAGTCTGGCCACTTTCCCCAGGACATTCACAGCTCTCTCTCTTCAGGTTGAGGCCTCCGCACCAACTCACTTTGCCCAAACTGACCTCAGCATCTTCTCCCAAACCACCCCCTGCCCTCTCACCCGCATCCTGGGGGGCCCCACCGTCCACGAAGTCACCCACACCTGCATCTGGGACCCATGCTAGATGCCACCCTCTTCCCACCCCCATGCCCTGTCTGGTCCAGGGCCTCCATCCTCTCCCACTCAGGCCCCTGCCTCGCCTCCTGCTTGGTCTCCTTGCTGCTCGGCCTGTTTTTAAAAGACCATCCCTATTCCTATTCTACTCTCCTTCTGGATACAACCTCCCCCAGGAAGTCCTCCCTGACTTCCTCCTCTGCCTCCCCAGCCCCAGGCTCCATCTCTGTTCCCGGCCATCCTCTCACCTTCCTGGTTTGGGAGTGGGCTGTAGGTGGTGAGGTCTTCCCTTCACCCTGATTTGGGAAGGAGATGCTGTCCCAAGAGCTGGGCCCCACAACAGTCTTCTAGAAACACTTGGAGGCCAGTGAATGGGATCCAGGTGGCTTCCCCGAGGCAGCCTCTGCCTGGTGTTGACCAGCCATGCTCAGGAGGGAAGTGGGATGCAGGGCCAGGCGATTGCCAAATCGGGGCTCGGAGGAGTCTGCTGGGTCAACAAGTTCTAAAGAGGAAGTGGTGGGGAAAGGAAGTGGATGATGGTTTTGGCTGAGTCGGCTGTGTTCCAACACCCCCGTAAAGTCCCCCATCACCCACCTACCTGTTCCTCACGCCTGACTCCTCAAGACCTGGGATCAG